TAGATCTGCACATTTCATATTTCATGATGTGAGGATGCATTTCATTACAATGCTCCTCTTGCTCCATTGGCAAAGCTTTTGAAATACTTTAAAATTCAAGCTATTTAAACTTGTAACATTTATGGACATTGGTCATCTGTTCCATATGGACCAATGGCTCTGTGTGTTTTCATCACTGCATTTCTTGTGTTGAACGGGTTGATTCTCTGATTTGCGTTGGTGAGTTTAATAATTTTGTTATGTCCTCCGAGAAAACTACTGTTGTGATTTAGTGCTATACAAGAATAGTAAGTAAGTAAGTAATGTTTATTTATATAGCACATTTTTACAGACCAAGGTCACCCAAAGCGCTTTACAGTGTTCAGAGTCCAGATATTATTTCAATTATTCCACACACGAAGCGAGTCGCCGAACACACTGGCGCATCAGCCTCCAATCAACACCATCCATTCACTCTCTCATTTACATTCATACCTATTGTGCGTGTTTTTAGTGGTAGGGGAAACCGGAGCAGCCAGAGGAAACCTACGCAGACACGGGGAGAACATGCACACTCCACTCAGAAAGGCCCTGTTCCGACTGGGATTCGAAACCCAGGACCTTCTTCCTGAGAAGCGAGAGTGCTATCCACTCAGCCACCGTGCCGCCCTCGAATACATTGAATTTAATTGTTTGCATTTAGATTTTTGCAGCATTTTGATTATGTTGCTTATTCTGTCTTGCATAACACACACAATCTTTCATGATTATAGCACAGTCAATGCTGGTATAGGGAACGTGTGAGCAGACTGAAAATGCAGCTCACCATCAAAAAGACGTTACAAACTTTCTCTTCTTCCGACTCACTCAACCACCGAGCTAAACCGCAAGTGCAGAGCCGCAACACAACTCTTGGAGACAACCGTGAAGGGAACATTGCACATGACTTCCCTCACTAAAATGCCTCAGACACAAAGTTATACCTTGAAAATCAATCTCCCGCAGCTTTCAGGAGAGTTTCTGCTCTGTGACCCTGTTATCTCACTTGCTTAGCGCTTGCATAGCTTTAAATGTCAATGCGTGTCATCTCCCAGCTCTAATTGGAGGCTGAATGGCACAGTAGTTAAATGCATGAAATGTTTTTATTACAGATCTGTATGCCAGATCAATTGGGAACAGACAGTTACACAAAGGATTTGATTTACTTCCCCAACATTGACTTTTAACTCGGCTCGGCTCGTTCACAAGCACTCTACTTGGAGGTGGACAAAAAACACTCACGAAATAGGGAAAATGCGCTCTGTACATTTCCTCAATATTAAAAGACATAAACTCCTTTACAGCCTCTGCGCCCGGAAAATAAATGTGTAAACGCTTCTGCTATAATGGCTCAAATCATTTCATGAAAAATACCAAGTGGGACAACAAGACATCAAAAATATTTATCTATCCAGCCACAAAATGGAGAATGGTGTAATCTATTCACAGCTTAATATTCTTCACATTCTTGCAATAGAATAAACCGAATCAATAAAGCAAAAATATTACTCATATTGACAGCAGATGCACCAAGCTTTCCCCTATGGGCAGATGCACACTCTGTCTTCATGTGTAATAGATTAGGGCTATAGATCAACGGAATTCTAGGTCTATCAAAGACATCCCTGGTAAATCAATTGACAAAAAAAGGGACGTGACTAAAACTCTCAGTAATATTTCAGGTATTACAGTTTTGAACAATGCAAAACAGAAATGTGTTAAAGCCGTTTTGCCTTTAAACCTAATTTATTAAAAAATATTCAGCTAATGTACATATCTTCTCATTATTTCTGTTTTCTCATATAAATATTGTATGTAATGACTAATTTATGCAGTATTTTGGTTCGCTCAAACCAATTCCTGCTGAAGGACTTAACTTTAAAGTACCAAAGCTTAAAACCATACCACTTCAACTGTGTAATAAAATCAATTCCTTGCTCTCAAACCAACCCGGTTCTACCACTATTTTTCCACATGTTTTCCAATGTTTTGGCCTGGTCACATCTTTAGACTGGCTTTTTCTCAAAGGAGAGACAGTTTGTCCTTAGTATGTATAAAATAAAAGGTTTTCTCATAAGATACAAACCTTTTTGATTTAATTTTGTTATGTATTTACGACCAAAAATCAATCAACAAAACATGCAAAAACTAAAAGCCCTATAATAGATGGACTGTGGTGTTTTTTTTTGTTTTATCCATGTCAATTTTCGTGACTTGACCAAATTGTTGTTTCACCAGCGGAAAATGATAAAAACCAAACAATGAAAACAGTTATCTCCAGCTGACACGCTTACGCTCCAGCTACTCTTACGCACCAGTGGCGCTTTGGGGCTGGCGGTGCGCTCTTGGTGACTTGCTAATGTGGGTTAGTGTCAGGTGCGAGGCCAGCGAGCGCTACTTGAGTCTTTTTAGACGCAGTGAATCTAGGGCTCCTACAAAAACCCCAGACGACAACGCCGACAACACAACCGAGCCGGCTCCACTCGCTTTTGGCCGTTGTGTCTTCAGAGGCTTCGGGGCGAATTACCTGTCGCGCTGATATCCACTTTCATTATGGTGTGACATTCAGGGGAGCGTGTGTTTTTTTTTTGCGTCCGCCATGTGCCCGTGTGTACCTGAATGTCACGCCGTAATGAGAATGGATATGACAGTGACAGGGCCATCAGTATTGAGGGGTCTGCCTTCTTTTCTCCTCCTGACACGCTGTGCGGACATGTAACCGTTCAATACACGCACACACACCCACTAACACACACACACACATACACGCACACAAAAACACACACGCACGCTTGCACACCCCACGCACGCAATCTTGTTTTATCTAAGACAGTGGGGTGCTATAGAGCCAAGACAATAACCAAACTCTATTTACCAGACCTCATTCCCTCATTCGGACCTGAAGTAATTACTTTTAAATTGCAAAACTAAGGAACATTAACAAACGGATGCAGCAATTTAGCTCTGCCCGGGGCTAGAAACAGCTTGTTTTCAAATGGAAATGAAGGTATTTTGCCATTGTCCGGTGTAATATTGCTGTGTTATGGTTTAAGTAGTTTTTCTCCCCTTTTTCTAAACGCAGGGTAAACGCGAGGCGCACGGCGAGTGTTTACCAAGCCCATTGTGGCAGAACAGTGCTCAGAGCGAGGATAATTCTAGCATAATACTAACTCTGTCGGGGGAGAGTGTCACTTCTTTCCGTCAGGAGAGGCGGCGCAGCTGCTACTGCTCTTACAGCCATGGTCAATATCCTCCTCGCTAAGCTGAGAGAGGCGATACAAACAGATGTTCTACAGGAGACATGAGCCGATATTTGTCCATGTAGCTGAGGTGTAATGTTGCTTTGGAATATATTTTGTGTTGTGTAATCTGTGTTTTTATAATGATCTGTAAATGTGATGTATTTTTATGTCTCAGGGACCAGGTCTGCGAATTAGCTGTTAGCTACATAGCCTATGAACATGGCATTGGTTATTTATAACAAGTCTTCTTGTTCTGTCCCTATTGATAATAATAATAACAATATGTGCGTTGTAAAATTAAATTATTCTTTATCATATTTACTCAATGGCTGCGGCTTCCTTAAACAGCTGTGCTAACTTATGTCATTCCTCAATAATTGTAGTGCAATCTAAACTTCACCTGACAGCACATTCATTATAATATAATCATGCGAAGGCCTATCATTATATACAAAAGGTTACCTAGTTTAAAAACTCTATTTAAAAAGGTGTTGGTGGAGTATCATATACGCACACATACTGTATACGCACGCATCCAGCCGCACTTGGTGGGAGGGGCTTCTGTTCCCTACATGCCAGAGCGCATCAATAGTGTTCCTGATTATCATGATCATCTCTAATGAGAGGGCTACAAGGTGAACACCACTTGTCTTCTTCCCTTAACACAGCCTGCTATTACAGCCTTTTTGTCTCTCTCACACAAGTCTTCTTCAGGCTGCCATTTGTTGTACAGCGTGTAATTCTCTTTCCCAATCACAGGCCTGTCACCCCGTCCTGTCAAGAGCCCACCAATATTGACAAGAGCGCCCAAAAAACGTGGCGTGCACAAAGGCGCCTAAGCTGCGCCCCCATTACTGCCGTGCCAGGGTCGCTGTAACTCTGATGAGGTCTGCAACACCACCTGCCTGTTCCAGCCTCATGTGTCAAAGGTACTCATCTCCTTTCACAGCTTTTAGGGAAGTTTGCCAAAGTTTGTCATGTTCAGGGTGTAGAAGCATGGAGAAAAAAAAGCCATTCCACAAGAAAATAACACCTTTTTATCGAGTGTTCTTTTAGCTAATGCATGGTTGGTGATTTGAGACTGTTTAAATTGACTCGCTATCATAAAGCTTGGCGTCTTGTGCGTGGAATCTTTGGTGTCGAGTGGTTTGCGTGCCATGAAGTCTGCAGGATGACAGACGAGGTACACTAAAGCCTATATATATTTTTTGGCTTCAATCAATTTGGTACAGAAAAACATATCTATCTCTGTGTGAACAAATCAGGCCACAACACACTGTCTTTATCTCTTCAAAAAAAATAAAAAACAATAACACAGATGTATTTTTTAGTATTTTGTAATGCGGTTTTGAAGATATTTCCCTATTTCTATCAAAAAGTTGTTACTGCAATATTTCCTCATCCGGATATTAATAAGGAATATTAATATCCCCCCCCCCACAAAGCAAAAGAAAAAAACCAACATCTACAGGTTAGAAGCACAGACGCTCGGTGGCTTACTGTTGATCCGGTGCCACTTGACACCGAGAAAGTAGGCGAGCTTATTATTTCTCTCACTTTGCAGCAAGTCTTTGAGGTTACAGTTGTTGAGTGGATTTCTTCACATTAATAATGACTGTGGCGAGTGTCCTACATCTTAAGTGCATTGTTATGAAATCTAGTGTGGCTGTTACTTGGCAGATAATGGAGAAGAGACGTAGAGATGAGAAGAACATGGTGTGAGGGACAAATATACTGTACCTCCATAGTCTGCGACTGGTGCATGGCTTTGATTGCATTCTGTGCCATGGCTCTTGTCGAAAAGGTGACAAACGCACACCCTGTAATAAGGAAGGGGGGTATATGGAGGGACAGTGGAGAGTGGGGAAGGCAGAGAGGTCGGGGAGGGGGAGGAGGGGGTTGACGAGAAAGAACAAAAACAAGACAAGAGGGTTGGACACATCGTCGTCTTAAATAAAACTCAAAAAAAACAACAACAACAAAACAGATTGATACAGGACAACAGTATCGCCAGTTGCTGTAGAAACACAGAGTCATGACAACCCATTTCATGAAGTTGAACCTTGCCCACCCTCATTGACGATCATCACAGGACATACAGTATAACACAAGTATTTTTTTTTGGTTTGCCTCGACATCGGGACTGTGCCTTCCTCAAAACATTGTGCCTTTTTGCTCTGTCTGTCACACTGGCAGCATAACACCTGAATTCAAAATTTTCAATAATGCAACCATATAAATCAGTTTGCAATTTGCATGATTTGAATTCGTTTTAGGCTTGTATTGTGGGTAATTGTGTGCCCTCTTTTTCTGCTCCGCCACAACAGCCGCAGAGGGAGGAGGTGGGGGGATGGGGGGGGTTGTCAGGGTGGAGACAAATATCTACAGGGGCTAGGGAAAATGGAAATCAGATAAAAAATAGAATTAAGTCAGACGGAAGAAGAATAGACACGCACAAGTCGGATTGGTTGCCCTTCTTTGACAATGATTTGAACCAATCAAGATGGCGGAGGTCGTTTTTATGGCGTGTTATGGGTTGTTGTTTGGGCGTGATGTAAGATTGCACGGCTGTTGAGGGAGTGATTAGACGAGATAATGCGAGGAGTGCTTCAACAACCCCCTGGGCTAATAATATGCTAACAAACTCACCAAGCTACGTTAGAGCAGCCAGGCCTGAACCGATTAGACAAATGCTCACAGACACATGCAGCGTGTTCAGGTTTGGCTGGCAAAACGGTAGCTTCGGAGAAGGCAATCTGAGGTTATAGAGTCTGCCGGGTGAAAGGAATGTGTTCCCGAAGCACAAAAGGATGATAAGTAAGTCAACAAATGCTTGAATTATATTTTGTTTATCTTGATTTTAGTACTTTTTGTCGGTTTTAAAACAAAGTCCCCCCAATTGGACAAGTAAAAAAGAAAGTGCGTCTGCTGTTGAAATAAGACATTTTTTACGTGTCCCATTGGGAAATCTTGTTTTTATGACCAACAAACAACTACTTCTACGACTTTTTCAATATTGCAGACACATCTGTATTATCATTTTACTGAAATACATATACGAAAAAGAGTATATTTCATTTTTCATAGAGGGCAAATAATAGGAGCATATTGGCTTAAATCATTTCCATTTATGTTGCACAAGCTATATGGCTATAATACCTGTGTTTTTCTTCTATAACAAACACTATCGTAGGTTTTTTCCGCGCTGTTGCCTGGTACTGTATAATATAAAAAATATCCATTGTAATTACCAAAATGTCAATATTAGGCAGGATAATGTAAGTTGTGTGAGTTGTGAGAATACACTATGTTTATAAATACAATATGTTTCATATTAGCCAGGTCTTATCATTCTATTGTACTAATTTCATTTCGTACTAAGGTCTGGATTTGCTCAATTGTACTTTGTTAACAGGTGGGAGGGGTTAACTCCTTTTGCAGATCGGAACGATTGGATCTGAGTTTACCGCGACATATATAATGTGCCCGAGTGAGTGAGGCAGTTAGCATTTAGCCTAGCTTTAGCCATCTACTTTGCCGTGTCCCGTGGCGAGTAGAGACAAATTTTTTGCCAGCAATCAAATCTGCAAAACATTCCTCTTGCTCCGCCTTCAATTTGTTGATATTTGGGAGCCGAACCAGAACGAATGACTTAACTATCGCATCCGCCGCCATTGCCAAACTACAACCAGCAAATATGGTGCAAACTCTTGACGTCACCGAGACCAAGCTGCAACACCCGCCTCCCCCGCTCGCTGATTGGTCGAATGGGACACAACCGAGATAACTGCAGCCACTAAAATCAGACCCAGACGTACATGAAGGTAATTGATAATTGACCGGAGTTTAAGGATAGCTAAAGCCAGGCTAGTTTCATATGTATTTTTTTACTGTTTATTATATCATTGTCGAAGCGAAGCATGTTGGGTCACAGTGAATTGTGCATTATTCGTACATTTGATTGATGGATGGATTGATCGCAAAGTTTTACGTTATTTCTAATATCTAGATCATGGTTCTTATATGTGATCTGTGATGCTTGCGCTTGTAACACTTTTTTGTTGTTAAATAGGTCACTCTTTCATCTGACTGCCTTTTTTTCTTAGCATTTCCAGACACTGTTACTTAACCGACTTCACAAGGTTGTCCTGCTCTCCCTAGAACTAGATCATCCATGAAGTCTGCCTGCATGTGGGTTAACCTATTTATACAGCATTCATCAAACGCACAACACAACTGGCGATAGATGAAGCAGATAATGTAAATCGATACGTAGCATTTAGGTTCGACTAGCTTGTTAAATGCCTTATATTTTCTCTGCGAGATGGGGAAAGGGTGCTAAAAATACCTCACGGGCCGCATTCTGTCGTCAAAGGAGAACCAAACAGTCCTTTAATGAAACTGGGGTAGCTCCCAAGGCCCAGCCATCCACTTGTGGTACGATCTATATTTTATTAATAGCTGGATGGTAGAGCACACTTCTGATTGATACCATGAATTTAAAGCGCTCCGCAGTACGGCTAGGTGGGACTGAAGAGCCGGTGGGACTTACAGAAATCCTAAAAGACCTACTTATTGAACGTTGTTTGTTTACTCGCCAAGTCTAAACATGAATTTCCCCTACTGCGCTGTGGTTCCTCACAAGTTAAGATTTGGCCATTGCATCTGAAATATTCATGAGGACAAAAGAGAAAAGTCAGAATGGGCTGGGAGAAGGGAAAAAGGGAGGATGTCTGTGAAAAAGAGGACAAATTGACGTGAGGGTGGATTCTAGGACATGCCAGTGTGAGGAGATACAGGGCGGCACAGTTTTGAAACTAGCAAAGGAGCATGGGAGTTGGAGTTTGCAGTTGGTGTAGCGAAACCTGCTCCCCCCACCCTTTCATTTCTGACAGAGAAAGTTATGGGATCTTTGCAACGAGGAGACTTGGTAAGGACAAATAAACATTGATAACATGTGACAGCCATAGAGGAAGCAACGTGACGTATCCACAGCAACAGCACATGCAACAGCCGAAGGAGCAGGAGGCGAAAGGGGCAGAAGTTTGGGTTCAGAAGCCTTTCCTCCATCTCCTCCACACGTGACACGACAAGGGAGTGGGGGGGGGGAGGGGCGGGACAGCAGCAGGAGCAATGGGAGAAAATACAGTAAATGGGGAGGAGGAGATGTACATATTTTTGGGCTTTCTTCCCAAATGGTGAAACTAACACAAATAGTTTATTAATGTGTGTTAAGAAATAATTAATTGTTTTCAATGATTTCAATTATTTCTTCACCAATCGAACTTGCTGTTCTGGTCACTTAAATTAGACCAGTTCTGGCAGATGGTTTATTTGTGGATAAAAAAGCAATAGATCTGTATGTAAAACAAGCATGTAGCAATACAATATTTATATTACATACACAAATATGAATTACCATTAATCATGATAGTTGTGCTTTATTCTGAAGAACAAAAATCAACAACAAATAAAAAACCTAAGTGGATCCTCTAACTATTTCCATCTATGCCAACAAGCAATACATTTGTTGGTCCTTGAAAGAAAATTCCCCAATTGGATAAGCGCAAAAGGAAAGTACTACTGCCTTTGAAATAAGGCATTATTGTTCTTCCCATTGGGAAGCATTTACTAGAACTACAACTATATTTATTTCAGTGCAGGACGATTATTTGGTTTCAAATGTGCTGTGCTGAAATGCATATACAAATAAAAGTTAATTTTAGTTTGCTTAGCGAGTAAATGTTGGGGCATACATATACGGAGGCTTTAATAATATCCTATACATCTATCTACATCTATCTATCATCTATCTATCTACATCTATCTATCTACATCTATCTATCTATCTACATGTTCTACATCTATCTCCTATACATATATTGCAAGAATAATTGCTGTAATAAATGTGTTTTTCTTCTATATCAAACAGTGGCTTGGGTAACAATGTAATTATATTCCACGCTGTTGCCTGATATATACTGTAATACTAGTAATATACTGTAGATAAAACAAGCTATTATCCTTGAGGCAAATATCTAACTCAACCTTTCCAGTTGCAAATGTTTCATTACATATTCCATTAAGTCAGAGTAATCATAAACTGTTTCCATTTTAACTTGTTTTAATCTATGTGTCAATAGTGTCAGTTTGTGTTATAGATCAGTGAAGCATTTTCTTCCCTAAGTGAACCAAACCTGGTCCAATTAAAGTGAACCAGACCAACCAGTGTGAACTCGATTACTAAGATGGATTCATCAATAAAGTCAGAAAAGTGACTCATGTCTAAGTTCCATTCTCATCTCTTCACTTCCTTATTCCACAGCTCAAACACTGTTATATATCAACGCTATTCTAGTGTATTATATGCCAGTGAAATAATTGCCTCTTGAATACATATTTTCTATCTCATATTTGCCAAGAAATGCTTTTTAATGTGTGATTGGCGCGCACTTACAGTACTGTCCTGTTCAATTATTCTCTTTGTTAGATCACTGTATTTTTTTTGACCTAGTATAAATACATCAATAAAAAGTCCTGAGCCTACCTTGAAGCTAAACTTAACCCGCATAAAAGATGCTAATGGTGGTTTCAATAGCACACGAAGGAAAGGCTGATGAGAGACAGGAGTGAGAGGAGGGAGGAAAAAAAACAACAAAGAGAGAGGGATATAGAGAGACAGCTAAAGGAGAATGTTCATAGAGCAGCCTCCAGGTGCACCACTGATTCATCTACTTGTTAAAATGACTCTGTAGATTAGCTCCGCAAGCCTGCACGCAAGCCCAAACGTTTCCTCAATAGGTTGCGTTCATGTTCGAGGCTTCTATTTCAGTTGGAGGGCAGGTGCCAATGAAACTCTATGAGAAATAAGCACATTTTTTGAATAGAAATGTTCAATTAAAAAATGTCCAAATGATTTATCATTATTTTGGCCAACAACATGTATTTGTTTGTTGAATATTGTCACCACTTTTTGACCTTTATGAGAAAATAATTAGGCCACAATGGAAATGACAGTTTCTGTTTGTGATTGGCTCAGGATGACACGGGGGATGCTGATTGGGAGATGGTCTGTTTCAACTGAAGTAGATTCTGATCCGTGTTATGTATTGTATACTGCATTTTTTTATTGTACATAATTATATCCTGCACAGACTATATTTTTAACCCTAACATTTTGCACCCTAACTACCTATGCCAAATGTGACATGTACATTTCTCCATTGTGAGATCAATAAAGTTTATCTTATCTTATCTTATACTTTTATTGTATTTCTTATCTTCGGTTTGTGCGTTTTTATGTATCCTCACTGGTGCTCCGTCTGCAAATGAAGTGTCTCACGGATAAATAAAGTTATTTGAATTTGAATTAAAGAAAAACTTAGCCCAGATTAGTTAGCAACACAGATTTTACATTTGCCCTCCAGCACAATTTTAAAGCATAGACTTTATTCGAAGATTGTGATATCACATGAACGCAACCTATTCTGCAAAATCCAAAATCTTTCCCCTGCTCAAGCATGTAGAAATATAGTAATGTTTATTTATAGTAACATCGTGTCCATGCAGCTATCACAAACACAGGCTGTCGTGCTGTGAATCAGTAGTGCACAGGTTCTGGAGGCAGAGTGATAAGTATTGTACATGAGGAGCATAAGTGCAGATAAAAGATAAAAGATAAAAAGAAAGTGGGGCGACACACACCTCTGCTCAGTCCATCTGGCCCTCGAAGGATCCGGCATTCTTCTATCTGGCCGAACGCGGAGAACATGACCCGGATGTCATTCTCGTTGCACTTCTTCGACACCATCCCGATAAACAACTTCCTGTCTTCAACGGCTGCAGGAACAACAACAAGCAGGGCTGTAAAATAAAGCCTTTTTACTTATATTGTGTTTCATGCGGAAGTGACAATGTGTTGATTTTTATTGATTCACATTGTTCCTCATGGTGTTGGTTAACTACTGCTATAGCCACAGATGCCCTGGGGCAGACTGACAGAAGCGAAGAAGGCACATGTAGACTAGGGCTGCACGATATTGGAAATTAGTGCGATATTCGATATATGTGTTTAGTATTGCAATAATGATACTATATTATTGTCTTTCACCTAAAATTGCAATCTGCATTGAAACGCAAGAGACAAATAACAAAAAATAAGCACAACATTAATGACATTCAAATGCATACATTTATATACTTTTTTGTTTGTTTGTTGTTCTTTTTGAATGTTGATGTGTCTGTCTGTTTTGTCGTCTTTAATAAAGGAAAAAAAGGAGATTTTTTAAAAAAAAGAGATTTTTTATTGCGGATATTTTTGATATGGATATTGCACGTACCAATATCGCGATGACTATATTTTTTTCGATATATCGTCCAGCCCTAATGTACACAAGTGCAAACACACACACATACAGTAGATACACACATACCTGCAAAAGTAAAAAGTAGAAAGTAAAAGTAGGAAAACAGGGTTTGAAAGGATTTTTTATTATTGGTCTACAATAACTAATACAATAACTTTCATGCGTTCTATATTATAGCCTATAGGATTAACTTCAGTAAAACCAGATGTCTCCCATCATCCCACTACTAACCAGGCTTTTCCCAGCTTAGCATTTGATATCTGACAGGCTCAAACTTTCACATGCTGGTATAGCCACGATATGACTAATATAACTTGGAAATCTAAAGATAATACAAAAACAAAAGATAATGGAAAGTCACAAATGTGGACTATGGGGTTGCATTTAATGACATTTTCTCCCTCTTTTTTTAAATATAGAATTCTACTTCACCAAACTCAGACAGACGAATGTCAGGGTCTCGTTCTAATAAGTAATTTCCTCACAGGTCCTAGTGGAGGACTGCAACACTACAGTAAATGATTCAAATTCTTAAAAATTGACACGACCATTACATTTAGTCTGAAGGCCGTGAAACAAACTTGAAAGAATCGTTTTTGATGTCAACACAAAAAGAAAAAAACCTTCACCTGAAACCGGGATAATGATGGGTGAAAAACACAATTCTGAAAAACTAGCCAAATGAGACAGACAGAGCTCATGTATTTCATCATGCCATCTGTGAGCTGTGATCAATGTCTCATTATCACTTCAACGCCACTGCAGACGGTGCAGCTTGTCCTCTCTAACGCGTCTGTCCTGCCCGCGCGCTCTTCCAACACAATCCAGCCGGCCGCCATCGCCATCGCCAAAAGCACGCACACTTGCTTCAAACATGTGTGCTGCCAGTTTCGGAGGGGATCCCACGGAAAAAGAATCCGCTCCCACAACTATAATGCGGTATTTATAGATTCCCCCTGCATTCAATGTAATGCTAATCCAATTCAAGTTTAATGAGGAAACTGACAGTTCTCACCGCGAGGCGAAAGAGATAAGCGGTCTGTTGCACTCTGGGAAATCAATAGCACACTTGTTTATTTTGCTGTTTGAACTGTCTGTGTATTTACAAAAAAAAGCAAAAACAACCATTGGGATACACTGCCAAGATAAGTGTACTTTGGAAAGGGGCTTTAACTCCTTTGTACATAGCGTGTATGTGTGAGTGTGCACATCACTCCAGAGGAAGATTACCACAAGTCTAACAACAATGTAATTAATTTACTTAGCGTCGATAGGATGAGAGAGAAAGAGAGCAGATACGGTTACAATTGACTGTGTTTGTGTTTTTAGGGGGAGCGGTGCAGGCAGGAAGGCGTGTGGGTGATAAGACTCATGAAGCCGACTGTGGGATGATCTGGAGTCAGCTTTGCATTCTAGGGAAAATTGGAGCGAAATTGTCTTCATGCTGAGTTTTCGCACATTAGAAAAGAACCAAAGAGAAAAGACATTAGCCAATATAGTTGATATTTGAGAGTTAAACTGTACATCTTCCAGCTCATCTCTTTGTCTTTCATATGCTCTACAGACAAAACTAATAAAGCACGAGCCACCATTCCTCATTGTTACAGCTGCTCTAATGCTGAGTATATTAAAGGTCATTACCATTACGGGGATGGATATGCTACGTATGCTCTTCACTATATTTCACAATTTTAGCGGCAGGCAGAAGCGGCTTTATTAAGTTCTAGCATCGTTACCTCTGCAGTTTGGTCTTATAAACTCGTATTTCACACCATTTTACTGGAGCAAAGATTGGTTATAGAAAGATGACACCCATGGGGTGAATACGAGTGTACCCTCACAGTGGACACGGTGACAGTCTTTGGTCTGGAGATTTTAAGCAGACAAAACACATGAATAAACTTAAACATGTAAGTTTTGTCACACGTAGTACTACAGTGCACAACACTAAATAAAAGATGCAGAGAAATATTCCAATGCAATCAGGTGCCGCTGTTATGCCTTTTGCCATTTTGGAAAACACAACACAGATACAACAACTTATACAATAAGTAATTATGGTATAGTTCTGATCTATTCTGTACCTCAACACACCACTTGCTGTACAGCAATATTCATATTTTCTTTGATAGTAGAGTATACAATATTATAGTTTAACAGGTGTCTTCTTTCCATCCATCCATTTTCTTCCCCTTAATCCATTTCTGGGTCGGGGGGGTGGCAGTCAGAGCTGCACCCAGTACACTCAGCACCAGCCCCTGTGTCTTCTTTCTTCTGCTAAAATAAGTGTATATTTGTAGAAGAGGTGACCAATAGGGAAAAGCAGACAGAACCACTAATCTAATATTCAAGGTGAACTGGGGACATGCAAAGATGAATTTGTATTTAAATATAGATATATTATATCCATCCTCCGTCTGTGTGTCTATAAAGCATGTTTATGTTAAATGAGCTGCCACCGCAGTTGAGGCCTGGTTCACTATACGAGCAAATGATTCAACTCACCGTGACCCCGTCTCAAGCTCCTTAATAATTCATACAGAATGAAAAATATCTAAATCAGCATTTTACCATATACAGTCATACTTTTTAGTCTCATATTGAATTTCTTGACCTGGTCCCTTATGGCTTTCACCGTTTGTGCAGCGATCAAACATAGATGCTTCGGTGTGACCAATTCAGAAATACAAGTGAGATAGGACACTTACCATTCGATTTCTCACTGTCTGCAGGTTTCATTTGGATAGGGTGATGCATCTGAAAGAGAGTGTGAGAGGAGAAAATGAGCATATACACTCTCACGATGAAACACTCAAATACTGTCCACAATAAACCAGGAAGTTGACTCAATCTACAGTCATTTACGGACTACAAGTCACTACTTTTACGTGTTCTTTCAACTCTGTGGCTTATGTGTGATTTTTATTGTGGTAGAGTTGTCAGAGCAGAATTGTTATTTTCACTCCTTCAGGTTTTAGAAGCTATAGGACACTTGCTTGTCATTAAATGTTCATCATGTTGTGATCAGTTAAAACAGTCATCTATCTGCTAGATTACAACATCAATTTATAATCCAGTGCGGCCTATATGTGGACAAAATGTATATTCTTCTCAAATGTAGGTGTTGTGGCTTATATTCAGCTGTGCCTTGTAGTCCAGAAAGGTTGTTTCCTACTTTACTAAAACACGTCATATGTACCCATTAAAAAGGTGCTTTAATTACACTTGACAGCCCAGAAGAAGACCTGATTGTTTTGCGTCTGAAACTTTCTCCTCTGTTCCCATTAGCTCTCTTGCGCACTCGCTCCTTTATGGAAGATTATGTGACTGTTTGATCTGCACATTGAATGACAGCAATTCTCCAAATCTAACCCAGTATCAATCACACTCAGAGTCAAATACTTGGCGGCAGCATGTGTCCGTGTGAGTGTGGATGTGGCCCATCTTACCCATAATGCCCCTGGGCTCAGCCGCGCTGTGACAGAAGGCTTTGATCTCCCAATTCTATCATACCTTCACCCCAACCCTCTCCCTCTTGCACTGGTTCTTATCATCCTGACTCTTTTGCCTACGACATGGTCCCAGACAGACACACACACTTTTCTAAAGCACATTTCTTTGAGCAACCTGCAGGGGGCAGTACATGGCGGAGAGTACTGTAGCTGTTTTTCATGTTTCATATTAATTGGTGTATATTTTGTTGTATAGTAACAGTAACTGAAGCAACATGTACACTAAAATATCAGATCAGTCTCCATCCTGCAAGAAAATTATAGCAAATAAGGTAGAGTAAATCCTTAAATTGAATTTTTGTATTGACAGACTTAAAACTTAATTTGAAATTGGGATATTTCAAGTTGGTATTGTTGAGTATTGCGTATTGAGTAAAGTATTGTTGTCTTGTTGGAAAATCTAGTTTTAGGACAGACAATCTACCGAAATCAAGAGAGATGTAACCTTTTTTAAGACATAGTTTAATGGCTTATATGAACATAACCAAAATAATATTCTTTTTGTTTAATACACAATAAATACATACGAGGAATGTTCTAAATGATTGTGAATAACAACAAAATAAAGCGTAGGAAAAAAGCAGTCGTCAAGGATAGGTACGCCTGTGGGCCTGTCTCTTGTTAATGTCACCAAGACAATGATTGGGACATGGAGGTGTGTGTCGGGCTCATCAAAAAACAAAAAATAATGTCAAGCAAAACCTGGAAATTCCATCAAGTCACTTCACGTTAATCCATTTCAAAGCTGTCCTCCTAAGGCAAAAATAAAATAAAACCAAAACAAAAGACCTGACAGCATTCAGAGCATCACCGTCATTCATTGTTGAAAAATGCTGCCAAAAGCTGCTGTTGTGCACCAGTGTTTCTCACACACAGACGCAGCAGCGCCTCCAAACAGGTACAAAACCCTGGTCCACTTTGGAGGCGTCTTCACCTCGGGTCTGTCTGCCCCCGACAGCCTGCGGGCTCTGGCTCTGTCCACACGTTTGATCTGAGTAAGCCCCTGCAGAGAACCCACAAAGCACGACTCCCCTTTCGCTATCCCACAATTCCTCTGTGCCGTTTCTTTTTGCCTGGTAGGCCCACAGCCACATTCTGCCATTCATTATGCACTCAGCAGGACCCCGACAAAACTACTAAGTCCTCGCCGCGCTCAGCCTCGTAAAAGGCACAAAGAGGAAAAACCGTCACTGGGTAGAGCCATGTGTGCAGCAGAGAGGATGCTGTGTTGGCATTTACCCCACATGTATCTCAACACAGCCACAAAATACACAAGGCGGACAATTTCTTAGGCCACAGGGCTGCAAGACTGTGCTCTCAGATAAACCTGTGCCTGCGTCATCGACAGGAAGCCATTTTCTATGGTATGATTATCGATAAGATTTAGTTTTGTATATAGTACTGGTGAATGTGAATGTTGTCAAAAAACTTTAGACAACTAACTAATAGGCCTTTTTCTGTATGTTTGCTGATCTGAATGCAAATTATTAGTGTTGCAAAGCTGCCATGTTTCATGACATTTAGTCATGGGAGTAGACGTCAAAAGTAGCAGGGTCAGGGCTTCCTGCTGCTTAGGGTGATGTCATGATCCTTTTCAGCAGCAGTGCAGAGGGGGACAGTGGGAGGACAGTAGTCCTCCGTAGATACATACTATTATTATGGAAATAAAGAATATGTTATTCGCCATTTGACAAATAATTCAGTTTCCGCTATCTTCGTCACTTCAGTTTGAAGTCTGGCCCGACAAGTGATTTAGACTCTGCTTGCGCTCAAGAAATATTAATTTCCCTTTTCCTGTAATTGAAGAGGTCCTTAGGAGCCACTGGGAGCTAAAAAAAAAAAAAACAGCAGCAAATTATTAGGCAAATATGAAATATAAAGTGCTCTTTAGTGAGTCGGTATGCAATTACAAAAACAAAACGTAAATAACGGATGTCTGACGATTATTTTCTTGTTGGATGAGATATGAAGAAGGCTGATAATGCGTTTGTTAACAAAACACTTGTTTGTTAAAGTGTCACAATTTGTTTGTAATCATATTTGGAGCACCTGAACCAGCTCATTACACTGCACAGTTGAGGTCTGACTGAATCGAACTGTCTGTCCTCCTGTAAAATACATGACAAAGAGGCGGCTCTGAAAAACAATTAATTTCTCATTTACATAACAATGTGAAAAAAATGTTTGTTACAGTAATTATATGGGCGGTGGCAGAGTGGTTAATGTTCTCACTTCTCAGTCCAGGGTTGGACTCCCATGCAGCACCTAGCCCTTCTACGCAGAGTTTGCGTGTTCTCCTAGTGCTCTTTTTGGTTTCTCTAACCACTATAAACATGTACAATATGTTCCACTCTGGGGCCAGGACTTAACTTTATATACAGTATTTCTGAACATTCAGAGGTGCCAGACATCCTTCCCACATTGCTGTGTAAGGTTATCTCGCCAAATGTCACCCAGGGCCCCCTGTTACTCCTCATATCCTTCAGCTCATAAAGAAAGCCGGTACTAGCGACCTTGTTGGCATTCAGGCACTGTATGTGCTAAGGCTCCACTCCTCACCTACTGCCCATTAAACACTCATCTGGTACAGGGCTCTCGAAACCCTACACGTTCCAAACGTTAACGTTATACCCGCCAGCTCCTCTCACATGCTGGGGTCTGCTGCCCCGCTGCTCCAAAGGTCACAGGTCCACTCGTCCCAGAGCCAGAGGACTGAGCCAAAGACACTGGAGAAGGCTCTGTGCCACAGAACATAGGAGTGTGTGCCTGTGTACAGTGCGGTGACGTGAAATACTGGGTCATAGTCAAACAGATGGCTTCAAACTATAGTCAATGGTTGTGAAAGCACACACAAACTGGAGGCTTACTGTGTTTTGTTCATAATTGAGCCAAGTTACCAGTGTCACACAATAATATACCAATTAAAGCAAAAAGATCTGACCTGAACCTTTTCATTTAGACAAATAGATAAGAATAATGGCAGAAATAGAAATGTTTTTTAACCTTTACTGACCCACTGTTCACACAGAGCGGACAAACATTGTTAAAAAGACAAAAGGCTATTTTGAAGCTTGCTGTTATGACAGAGTTTCAGTTTCCGTTTGCAGAAAATAATAAAAAAAACGTTGCTAAATCAACACCAAACACTGTACAATTCCATCAAACAGAATAATTGCACTGACACAACAAATGGAAAAATAAAACTGCTGTAAACCCAGATACTTGGAGATGATTTTGATGATAATGTCCTGCATTGTTAGCTGGTGATATGTTTTGGGTGAATCAGAATCAGAATCATTTTTATTGCTACGTAAGTAAAATGAGGTCACAGACTTGGAAATTGCTTTGGCTCAGTGCAACAGTCAGAAAGAGAGAATACAAAATACAGAATAAAAAACACTTCCAAGGAATGAATTTTAAATAAAATTAAAATATAGTTACAATTACTAAATACAGTACAATACAGTGCACATGGTGCACACAATGTAAGGTGACAGCAGTATAGTGAAGTAAAGTGACGTATGATGGGCAGTAAAGTGACTTTATAAAGAGCAGTAGGGGACTTCTAGAGGGCGGGGAGGTTAAGAAGTGTTCAAGAGTCCAACAGCAGAGGGGAAGAAACTGTTCTTGTGGCGGGAGGTTCTAGTCCTGATGGACCGCAGTCTCCTGCCTGAGGGGAGTGGTTGGACTAGTCATGTGCAGGGTGAGAGGGGTCGGCTGTGATACGACCAGCCCGGCCTCGAGCTCGGCGAATGTGTACAGTATATACCTCAAAACATACGTAAGTAAACTTTATCTTTATAGTTCCTTTCACAGACAGAGTTACAACACATGAAGGCGCCAGACACTGGTGGAGTTTGCATGTTCTCCTTATGTTTCTTTTGGTTTCCCAACCAGTAAATGTGTACAATAGTCCCCCTTAACACGCCCTCCCCCGTTCCTAAACTCCCAACCTCTTTTTGGGGCCAGGACTCTCATTGGGACATTCCTAGTTAAGAAAAGGTCAAAGACTTAACTTGTTTTCATATTTCTACTGAGAGACCTACTGAGAGATGTTTGATACTCTACCAAAGTATCAAACATTAAGTGGAAACGTGATTTTGATTTAAATTTTTCATACCGTGCATAAGCCAAACATAAAACGTGTCTTATTGATAAATATTTTAAAACGTCTGCAGTATTGATCAGCTTAATTTTACTCATCCATTCACCACTCACACATATATATCTTTTCTCTCCGCGGTA